TTGGTTCCAGTTTCAAGATTTCAAATACCCACAGATTTTTTTTTATTCTGAGGACACTCTGGCTCCTCGTGATGCCAGTGTCCTCTGGTATTTGTTCTGGCTGGGCTCTTAATCATTTAATTTAATGCTGATACTTTTAATCTGTTTTCAGATCTAGGAATGTGAGAGCTTTTAATTCAGCTCAAAGAAATGTATAAATATCTTTAAAAAGTTGTCTTTTGTGGAAGGGAAAAGGATTAGATTGAAGGACTCATATATGAAATTATTAGTAGAATTAAGTCCATTAAGTAACTTGCATCCATCTGCTGGTGTTGGGGTTAGCTGAATCAGTTTTGGGTGGCCCTGCTATGCGCTAAATGAAATTTCTCAACTCTGCTCAGGTATACTGCAGATCCTTGGGGGACTCTAGGACAAAGACTGAAAACCACAGTATTAGGTTCAAAAAGAGAAACGTAACACTGCTTTGTTTAAATGATTCAGTACTTTTTAAAATGCTAAATTCAGCATTCTTTTGGATATTTTGTTAAAAAATAACAAAATATTAACCATTTGTGATAGGCTGCTTTCTGAATATTTTACCCTGTTTTACCATGCCTTCACTGCTTTTACAACACTACACTATGATAAAAATCTCATTTTTCACAAATGCTAATATGGACTGATACTGTTGTTAAAGTACTCTTATCACTATATTAACAAAATTTAGCGTTCAGTTGCAGTTTAATTTACCCACTTACTTCTTCATCCTTCATTTCATGTGGTCTGTTTTTTGTCTTGTTCCATCGATCTTGGTCTTTTTGAGGGGAAATGATTTCTTGGAAAACTTGGAAAAGGATTTATTCTGTACTAAAGATTTTCATTGGAAGTAAAAACCAATACCCCGGGATAGTTGCCAGGGACACTGTGCTTCATAAGTGGCTGCTCTTTGGATGGTCCTGAAGGCTTGGTCATTAAAGAACCCCTAACATTATTCAAAAGAGTAGATGTGTCACTCCAGTGTTGTAGCTACAGTTCTGCTTTAGGCTTGGAAATCAGCCCTTCCTAAAGTTCCTCCTTAATTCAACTTCTGAAGCAATTTTTCACATCTCATCTTTTGTGCACTGTGGTTGCTAGAACATAATGATCGCTACACATCATCCAGGTAGGTGTTACATTTCAGGGCTGGATATAGTGGGTCCCTTCCCATACTGTATGTTAAGAGCTCTGGAATCCTTTGGGATGAAAAACACTGTGTAATTAATGTGTTAGACTGTGTTAGACTCAGAGCTGTGGAAGTGAGTACATATACAGAAGTGTGACATACCTTTTTATCAGAATTCCATGATGACTGTATGTACTGCAAATAATGCTATATAAGGTAAGAAAGCATTTCCCGTAAGCAAAAACAAATGGCAAAATGTTATTAAAAATGTTAAGGCTATTAAAAGGTTTGACCCCCTTATATTACTTTATTATTACCATAACAGTATAGAAAATTTACCATTACAGAAACTTTAAGGTCACCAAATATATCAAGGAAAATAGTGCTTGGAAAGGCCTGAACAGCATCTCACCTCCTTAAACGTTAAACTTTGATTTATGGAACTGCTCTGTTACTCCCTGTGAGATTTTCCTGTAGGGTCATTTTCTTGTGTGCTTGTATGCTTGTCCTAAAACCTCTATGTATTTCTTTTCATTTAGATGTAGTGTAACCAAGGTAATAAAAGTTCCTTTGGGGGAAATCAAATGGAAAATGATTAAACCACACAAAAGGTAAGCAAAGACTCGGTTACACATTTTTAACTATGGAATGAAAACAAAGCTGGCTAAGCCCCTATGAGAGATGGCTGTACTTTAATCTCTAGAATTGTCAACAAAAAGGCCTCTCATTAAAGATGTGTCATCTCCCACTCTCTGACTCCTGTCAGTGTCAGTCTGCTCACCTGTCTGGCGCTGCTCGCAGTTCACAATTTATGGGCTTTCAAAACAGTTCTGACTCAGAAGGCACACAGATCTCGAAAGCTGGCATTTTAACTGAAGCTATCAGCAGTTCTGACAGAAATGACCTCAAAAACCTTGTAACTTCAAGCTGTTGTGCAAGGGTAGTGGAGTAGGAGAGCAGCATGCACTTGGTTTGCTCAGCACTGACAAATAAATCTAATTCTGGAAGAGTATAGAGAGGTAAAGGTATAGACTGTTCCCAAAATCTTAAAATCAGGAGAAGTTTAGTTCTATAAAATCAGAATTCCAAGATGACTAGACTTGGAATTTTTCGTCTTTTCTGATGTCTGTTTTTGCTTGTCTTGGGCTGGACTGCTGTAACACATCAATTTCCCTACGGGATCAATAAAGTCTTATCTTAAATAAAAACTTTTGTTCCCTCTTTTCTAACAGCTTTTAACCACATACGTGATGTTAAGTTTTCTCTTAAAGATGCCCATGTTAGTATGAATTGCAATCTGTGTTGTTATTATAAGCGCACATAGAATTTTGCAAAAATGTCTAAGTAATCTGAATCATGAGGGAAAACAACCCAGTCAAAAAGATGTAGTCAGGATAGGAGCTACACCTACTTTAGACTCCATAGCGATTGTTAAGACATTCCAAGCCTATGGAAAAAAAACAATCCAAAACTTTAAAGAATTAAAAAACATAAGACAAAAAAAACATTGAGTGTATACACATTGCAATAGAAAAGAAACATGCAAATTTCATGCTGACAGACACCCCAAGGGGGAATTAAGAAACCATGGAGCTGTAAGCAGAAGTGCTTACAGACACGCCATAAATATTATTGTATTGGCAGAGCTATTTGTACAACCTCATAAGCTGAAAATTTGCAGATGCTGATTTTACGTTGTGGGAAAGGATTGGTGCTAAATACTGGAAAGGAAGAGGAGAAACATGCATGATAGCATTCTTCTATATTTTCATTCTGACAGACCTAAATGTCTTACAGCAGTTTTTTTGTGGAACTGCTCAGAGTCATACTGGTCTGCACTGGAGACTTTTCTCATTCATCAGTATCAGCTGATGCCAATTTCTTGATTTATAACATTCATTAACATATATAAATATAACTACACAGTTATATTGAGCAACATTTTGGGAAGTTTTGGGAGTTTTCATCCTTCTCTTAAAGCAGCATTGACCAGCCACTTTCCAATTTTTACTAAACTGTTTTGTCAATCAAATATGTAATTGTATAATTAAATATTTTAATATTTAAGTGCTTATCAATGACCTCAAGTCTTATATTGACTGTACCTGTAATCCATTTGCTTTTATTGGGCACTGGGTTTAATTTCTGGGGTTCTATCTGCGTGGAGTTTGCGTGTTCTCCCTGTTTTCACATGGGTTTCTTCCAAGTGTTCCAGTTTCCTCCCAGAGTTGGGACCTCGGTTTTACTTCTCAACCAAAGGATAGCGCCTTTTTACGATACAGTGTCCCCGTCACTATACTGGGGCATTAGGACCCACATACTGTAGACTACAGGATGTGCACCGCCTGCTAGCCCTACTAACACCCCTTCCAGCAGCAACCTTAGTTTTCCAGTAGGTCTCCCATCTGGGTACTGACAGGCTCACATCTGCTGAGCTTCAGTGGGTTGCCAGTTGTGAGTTGCAGGATGATATAAGATTATATTTTATTGCATTCACCAGAAGAGAACATTCTTGGGGAATAAGATGTGTTTATCCTCAATAATTCCAAGTAACAGCAGAAAATCAGCTGGGGGAAATAGTGAATAGTCTGTTGACAGCACAGAGATTCATCTGTGGTTTTCCATTCCACGTGTGAGGAATAATTCAAAAGCATGTGACTGTCAGAAAACCTTAGTAGTGGAAACCACATGAAATAAAATTCTCCAGCTTCAGCCCTGAAGCCTTCTGAAGCCTGTCTTACGGGAGAGGAGAGCTAGACTCCTGAAAACAGATAACACAGTTCATTTCAGTTGGATTTCAGGGCTAAGATTTATTTTTCTGTTTATTGTGTGAACATACCCCAGATTCTAAAACTTCCAGTACATTCAAGGTGGTGTCTTGTGGGCTTTTCAATCAGTAACAGCTTACAGTAGGACCTAAAAACAGGTGACTTGATTTCTTGTCAAAATAATTATTTCAGTTAAGCAAGTAAGACGGTGTTAGAATGAAATGAGTGGACTCACAAGTCATTGTGGACTAGAGTCCACTCCTGATTCAGGTATTTTTATAGCAGGGATCTCATATTCAGTCCCTGAGGGGTCTGGTGTCTTCTGGTTTGTGTTTTACCCACATTCTCAGTTACATACTGAAGTTGGTCTAAACATTAAATTAGCTCCATAAGTGTAATACATTTTACAATTCTGAATTGTTTTATTGTTACATGTGTGCCTATAGGTGAATATAATGTGTAGTCAACTGAAAAAGACCTTAAGAACACACCCACATGTGTCTATTTTAATCTGTTAGAGGGTTAGTTGTTTAATGAACAATTCAGGTTGGAACAAAATTCAGGACACATGCAAGTAGCTCTAGGATCACATCCTGAAATAATGATGAGGACTGAAGAATATGGTTTAAAGATAATTTTCCATGAGAGAAATCATTGACACTGCAAGTCTTTCCATTCTTTATATTTTTCTCAAACATTTACTGAGAATTAGCTTTCAAATGCCTTGACTTACTGGAACTCACAACGTGGACACGTATTGGGTATCGAGGCAAGTTATCAGTTTAAATAAAAATCTTCTAAAAAGACAGATAAAGTTGTATTAAAAACTTAGCCTTTTAAGACTGAATTAATTACATTTATTAAAAGGTAAAATTAAACTTCCATATCTTTCATATCTTTCACTCGGCTGTCAAAAGCAGACCTAAAAACAGAGGAAAAACATTACAGAATATTTTCATTGGAAAAATACACTTGGATTAAAATCATTTCTGTAGTGACTTTTTCCCTTTTACAGTGCATAAAAAGCACACTGCAGCTATGGGCTGTTCTAACAATAGCTAGTTTGAGTGCTGTAACTTCCTGTCTGTGTGAAAAAAATAATTTCACTTTCACTTTGCAAGAAGCAGCCGCTGTATCCTTGAACCGGAGTAAAGAAAGAGCTCCTATTTCACTTCTTTTACAAAGAGAGATGGAGTTCAAATACCCAGTGGCCCGAAGAGACGAGACCAGGGTAAGTGAAATGTGTTTTCTTCTCTTCTGGTGGTGTGCTTTGCCTTTAAAAACACAGTCATGCTGTGAGAGGTGGAGTACAGCCTGGAAACCAGGCCGTGCACCAGCAGGAAGAGAACCTCTCACAGGGCCGTCCACCAGAAAATCTCAAGGCACTCCAGTAAAATGCCTTGGGTAAACCTACAGTTCTACACTGCAGCAAATCAGCCATCCCCAGGATCAGAGTTAAACTTAAAGTTAAACCATTACTCCCAAAAAGTAATTACAAACATATTGCATCCAGGTTTCTCTGTAGTTCTCTACAAAAATAGCAAGGGAGATTAAGGAGTGGGGGTGGCTAAAGTTCTTCTTGAGGACGATTCATGATCAGAACTCATTGCAGATCAAAATTTTTCCCTGCGTAATATTTTAATTGTAGCAATCATTCTTCACAGGCTTTACAGAGTTCTTGCGGTTGGCGCATTTGTGTTTAAACTGTGAATATTATTTCTTTTGCATAACTTGACTCCCATTAACTGTAAATGCAATCACTTCTCTTCACAAGAAAGTTAGTCAATTTTTGAGGGAGGTTAGATGTCATCAGTAAGTAAGCATATGAGAATATCCACTTCCTTTGAGAGTAAAAGACAGCTTATGACACCGGAATGTGTGTCATGTGGAAATGTGATATGACATTATGTGAATGGGAAACATGCAGCAGGGAAGCTGAATAGAGTTTACAGGAATCATTGTCACTTCTCTTTTCCCAAAGGTTGATGACTACCATGGCACCAAGATTGTTGATCCCTACGCTTGGCTGGAAAACCCTGACAGTGAGGAGACTAAGGTTGGGTGTGATGCTATGGGATGTGGTGGGATCAAAGGTTACCAGCTCATGACTGGGTTGTTTGATTAAGGCTCTGTTTAGAAGCTGCTGCAAAGGGCTCCCAGGTGATTCAGCCAGTAAAAATGCATTGGGGATTGTTTTAATTTAGAAAGGGAAATTATCTGTGTTATGCTCATCTGATGTGAATTTGGACACCCAAATGTGTGAAAATCACCTCTCCGCTACAGTAAGAACCCTGGCTAACATGAGGAGTTAATAAAGAAGTATAGGCAGACTCCTCTGACTAAACCATCTTTGAGCAACTCGTCTTTTTAGACAGCACAGGCAATGCAGCCCTGTATTTGAGGTTCAGACGTCAACGAAGAAAAGGCAGACCCCTCACACACAGCACAGTTTTGCTGCAAGTGCCCAGGAGGTTGTAGACATCACTGTGACACTAAGATCCAAAAAAGTCTTGCCCAGTTAATCCCACCCTTCCCCCTGTTGTGCTCATCCAGTTGTACGCCACCATCCAGGGAACAGTCAGTTGGCAACATGACCCAGGCTCAAACCACTGAGCACTGAGCTCAACCTGTGCTTCTGCTCTGACCTGCAAGGGCTTTCACTGGTTGAGCCACTCTGGAGGGGGACCAGGTGTTTTTTTCAGCAAAATCAATCTACATTCCATATACTGTACCACACACCTTTTCATAGAAGGCACCGTTCTGCAGAAGTGCAGCCAAAGAACTACCTGTCATTTAGAAAGTGCCATGAAGTCATAGACAAGGTTGAAAAATAGATCATATAAATGTCACAAGAAAATCCCTAATTACATTGTGTTTGTGTGCTGCAGGCTTTTGTGGCGGAGCAGAACAAGCTGAGCATGCCCTTCCTAGAGAAGTGTGCAGTGAGGCAGAAGTTCCACGACAGACTCACAGAGCTCTTCGACTATCCCAAATACAGCTGCCCCTACAAGAGAGGGGGGAGGTAGGCACTTTCGGTTTAAATGTCACTCAAATCCACTGTTTGCCTCTAGTACTCACCAGTGCTGAAGATAAGTACTGTATGTTACAAATATTTTCCACACTCAAGCGTTTGTGTAACATTAACATTGCTACAGGTATTTCTACTACCACAACAAGGGTCTTCAGAACCAAGATGTGCTGTATACCCAGGACTCCTTGGATGCAGAGCCCCGTGTGTTTTTTGACCCCAACAAGCTCTCAGAGGATGGCACCGTTGCTCTGAAGAGTAAGTCCGTTGCTTTGCAACCTTTAAAATGGAGCCAGTTCTAAAAGGTCTCTCCTGAGCATCAGTAGTCAGTCCTCTCAGATTTCCCAGCACTGCCATGTCTGAGCTACTGAGCGTGGCCAGCTTTTACTTTTGCGGTCTCTTTGCCCTTGTCCCATACAAACACTATACATATGCAAGCACAGCTAATGAGATATAACTTACAAAATGTAAAACTGCATCATATTATTGAGCCCATGTAAAGAATAGACTTCCTTAATGAACAATTCTTAATAAAGAATAAACTTGCTTACCATTTTATTACCACAGTAAATTCCACTGTGAAAACACTACCAGTCACAGCCAGAATTTTATACTTCTGTCACATACCATAATGTAATGTTGATGTCAGGCGCTATATAAAAAGAAATTGAATTGAAAATACTGCCACAAAATGGGATCTAATGGGATGAAAATGGACCACAATATGCACACGGTGGTTTAAAGCACAATGTACGTTTTAGTTTGTTTTCTGTATATTAACCACTCTGTGCTTACCATTTCTTGTAAATATCCACAATTTGAAAGAAAATTAGAAAGGCTAGATTAGAGGAGGTCATTCAGTCCATCTAGCCTGTTTAATAGTTAGTAGCTCACTAATTCAAGACTCTCAGCTGTTTTTCTTGAAGGAAGCCAGGATATGGGCTTCACCAACATGGCAGGGAAGCTCGTCCGTACTCCAACACTCCCACATTCCCACATTCCTGATTCCAAAATTCAGACCAGATCTTAATGAACTGAGCTAATGAGTTCAATTGCTGTAATGGCGCTTAGTGTTTATTAAGCAATTGGGAGCTCAGCTGAAATCAAAACCAGAATTGACAACCAGAATTTGGAAATGAGTCCAATCCATGGAATGGGATTGGAAAAACCCTGCTTCAGTAGATTTTCCATAATTTTCATCAGCGTCTCTTTTGTAGTTCAGTAAACCTTTTGTGAATAGGAGTGTTCAAATTCTAACTAAATACTTTTACACAGTAATGTTTCAAGTTAGCCCTTTTCTTCTCGGTTTTGTCCTGTGATTCAATATAGGAATTTATTATTAGGCTTTGAAGTTTCCTTCAACTCCCCAATGGGACTCTAACCAACTAATACCTAATGAGTCCAAGGAGATAACGCGAGGGCTGGCTGGAAGAGAATTATGGAAGATTGTGCAGTCCTGGAGGCTTGCATCTGAGCTCTGCCTTTGGCGCAGTCACTGTTTGACTGTCTCTTCCCCTGTCTGGCAGTGGCGCGGCTCTCAGAGGAGTGCGAGTACTTCGCCTACGGCCTGAGCTCCAGCGGCTCAGACTGGGTGACGGTGAAGTTCATGACTGTGGGTGATCAGCAGGAGTTACCCGACACGCTGGAGAGGGTGAAGTTTAGCTGCTTGGCCTGGACGCACGATGGGAAGGGAGTTTTTTACAACTGCTACCCCCGGCAGGAGGGCAAGGCTGATGGTAATAATAATAACCCTTAAACTTCTATAGTGCTTTTCTGGACAGTTGACTCAAAGTGCTTTACAGGTAATGGAAACTCCTCTCCAATACCACCAATGGAGAGTAGGCCTACCTGGATGATGCAACAGCAGCAAAAGTGCACACAGTACGCTCACTACACACCAACTATCAGTGGGGAGGAGAACAGAGTAATGAAGCCAGTTCATAGATGCGAATTAACATGAAGCCATAATTGGTAAAGGCCAGGGGAAAGTTTAGCCAGGACACCTGGTTTAACACCCCTACTGTTTTTCAGCTTTAAAATAGGATTTTTCAATGATCACGGAGAGTCGGTTTTACATCTTAACTGTAGAACGGCTTCTTATTTCCAGTATAATGTCCCCATCGCTGGGGCATTAGGACCCACACAGACCTCAGGGTGAATGCTCCCTACTGGTCCCACTAACACTGCTTCCAGCAGCAACCTTAGTTTTCCCAGGAGGTCTCCCATTCAATTACTGGCCAAGCTCACACGTGCTGAGCTTCCGTGGGTTGCCAGATTTGAGTTGTAGTGTGATACAGTATACAGTAGCTGAAGGTAGGGTTGCGGATAGCATTCCACACACACCTGATTACTCCCCAATGAATGCAAATACTGTATCTGCTGGTTTTATCACTTCAGAAAGAATCTTCCCTTTATTATTGTAGTTTGGGCCCCTGCTAGCTTTGTAAACTACAGAAGATGGTATAAAACAGCTGTTGTATGTTTCATACCTTAACTTTATTTTAAGTGCTTGCATGGATGGGCATGTTGGGGATGAAATGTGTTTCTGCTCTGTTTCATTATTACAATCTTTACAAGAGCCAGCCGGCTGTTAAATCTCAGGCAGCTTTGCAATATCTTATTTACATCATAGTTACCTGAGGTTTTATGATTTTAAACTGAAGTGGCGGATGTTTGTTTTATTACTATTATTTCTTATACATAGATCTATCAGTGAGTACAGATTTATTGAAATGTACCAGTGTTTTTCAGGTGTGCCATGTCAAACAAGCCTCAGTCAGTCCTCTAACAAAAATCTAAGTTGAATAATCAGGCCATCGTTTCCTGCGTTTGTAAAGAATTTTGTTCTTCTTCAGGCATTGCTTGATAAGAATATGTGAAAATATATATAAAAAAACATTTCCAGTTTCAGATAATGATATATAATTGAGAAATGCTTGACTATTAAATATGGTCTGTTATGACTTCATAATTATATTATTTGAATTAACACTGTGAATGAAAAAGAGAACATAACTATATTTAGCTGCTTCACATTTCTGTTGTCTGAAGTTCTACATTTGAGACCAGTTTCCAGGTGATGCTGGTCAACACTCCCATAAGCTACTTAAGTTTCAATATGTCTTTTAATTCTCTAAACAATAAAGCTAACACTTGCTCTCTATTCCCAATCATACATACTGTAGCTTGCTTGTTCTTTACTCCCACAAACCTAAATGTCAAGTAGATGTGGACTCTGTACAGTACAACCAAAACAATTTGTAATACACTGAGCATTCAAGAAGTGTTTGAGAGTGAGAGTGGACTTGTTTTTATATTATGAATATTGTAAAGGTTTAGAGGGGGTTGGCAAATCTGAAAATGATAGCAGCTAAATTTGTCTATAACTCACACTTATCCACAACTCCCCCCCCCAAAAAAAATAAATATGTAAAACCTTCTAGCAGTGAGCAGCCTGAAAAGGAAACCGTGTTGGTCACAAGGTGAAACATTTACACATACTGTACTTTATAGGCATTTACTACTGATATTTGTTTGCTGTTGTAATGGTTTTAACTTACTCTACATAAGATACAATTACTTTGGTTTTGTGCTGCTTAGTGTACATGATTGGTGGGTGTATTACTACAGTATATGCCACCACAAAGAATGTAAACCCTAATAGAATTTTTATTCACAATGTAATTGACTTTTTAACAAACTAAATGGCATCTTCTTTTAAACTAAAAGCGCAAGATATGTTTGTTTTGCATGTGTTTTCATCCTGTTTGGCAGTTTAGTATTGTAAATAATACTGGTTTGAGTCCTAGGGAAGCCAGGCTTTCAGAAGATAAAATGTTCTGACATAAAAACTACATGTTGCAGTTTTGCCTCTGAATGTTTTTAACTCCTCATTACTTGGGGCAATGGAATGTGAAAAACTATGTTCTAATTAAATTGGTACAGGAACTAATGGCTGGCCATAAGTCATAATAATCTTTCCAATAATAAATTCCAACAGGGACAGAGACCACCACCAATCTCAATCAAAAGCTCTTCTACCATGTGATTGGAACACACCAGTCAGAGGATATTCTAGTAGCAGAATTTCCTGATCATCCCAAGTGGCAAAGCAGCGTCACGGTAACCAGCATCCTTATTCTGAATTGCTTTTTGTTTCTTACTGGATAGGATGCCTACAGAAAAACACATAAAGGTTCAGTGAAGAATTCAAAAGTCCAAACTGTAGACTGAGTCTTGAACATCGAGAATGTCTGTTTGTACAGTACGTGAGAGTGTAAATATGTATAAGTATGCTGGCGTGTGTGAGTATGCATATTTGAGTATGTGAGTGTGCTGTTGTGTGTCTGTGAGTGTGCTGGTGTGTGTGAGAATGCTTGTGCATTTGGGCATGGACTGCTGTCAATGTGGGAATAAAACCTGAGAAAAAAAGTCCCTACAGAGATTGCAACTCCTGACAGATGATGATTGTGGAGACAGTCATACAATGTAAATTAGTTATTTAAAGAGTACAGGAATACAGAAGTGTATGTGTGTTTGACGGCACTGTCTCTGTTGGAGCTCTGGATAGCCCAGAAGTATGAGTTTATAATTCAGTAGCTGTCCTCTAAGACCTCTAGTCACTAACTCCCTGGCTAGTCATTGTGTAACACTCTGCAGGTGTATGTGCTGTATCTTTGCTGACAGTTTCACATGTACGTCTGCAGGTGTCTGACGATGGACAGTATGTGGTGATGGCAATTACAGAGGGCTGTGAGCCAGTCAATCAGCTGTGGTACTGCGACTTGCAGACGCTGTCCAATGGCATCACTGGTATGTATTGTATACAGCAAGGTCAGGGAAAAGCTTCTGAAATTCTTCAATTCCAGCACTGTGACTGAACCACCTACTGCAGCAGTGACTCCAGAGCACATTATCCCAAATGGTCCAACAGATCCATTAGGAAAAATGAAAAGAAAGTAATTTATAAAATGATTAAAAAACCAACAGCACCCAGTTACAGAAAAAGAGTCTAATGAACTGCTGACACGTTGAAAAGTGTAATAGAAAGAACATGAGAGAAATAGGCTGAAATATTGCAGATTTCTAATGCAATTAGGCTAGAACAAATAAAAAGTTATTTCAGTAAGAAAATATCAAAAGAAGTATTAAGGATGAAGTACAATGCATCTGATATGACAGTGGTTAGCTTCTAGATGATGAAAGGGAAAGAAAAACTCTGAGGTGCAAATCTTAGACATTGTGGGCCTGGAACCATTATGAAAAACCTATTGTTAATATCCTTCCTCTTTGTTTCCAAGTGATTTATTCTTGATCCTGAAGACCATTGGGTTGACTTTGTACCTCCTCCTCAACACTGGAGGACACTTCTGCCTTTCCCTGCTACAGGTCTTTCCATTGCTCTCACCTGTTTGTGTCCCCACTGTAGGGATTCTGCCCTGGGTGAAGGTGGTTGATAACTTTGAGGCGCAGTATGGCTACGTGACCAATGAGGGCAGCCTCTTCACTTTCCGCACCAACCTGCAAGCGCCTCGTTATCGCCTGATTAACATTGACCTGACGAATCCGGAGCCCTCCAACTGGACTACGCTCATCCCAGAGCACGAGAAGGATGTTCTGGGTAAGAGGAGCTGTGGCTGGAAGTAGAGGGAGCGAAGCAGGTCGGGTTAGGGTAGAGAGAGAGCTCCCAACAGGATCCCTAACCTTGAGGAACACACTTAGGGTTGAGTATAGAGTTAAGGTCAATTTTTTTTTGCTTTTAAGAAAACACAAGGGAAAATTCAATGTGTGATTGATCGAATACCGTGTCAATTTTAAACATTTATAAAAATGAAATAACATAACAAAAACAATCTTAATTTAAACAGTCCCTTTCTGTATATTCACAGAACACACAGGTTACTTGATAAGATGTTGCCTCACCACAGTGGTGTGACATGCGGTACAGAACACCTTTACTGTAGCTACCCAATGGTAGCACTAACCTTTAAAGTGCTGTAACTGCTATGCAGTGGGTATAAAGTCATTTTTAATATCCACCACTGAAGCACAGCACCCACCTGGGTGACACACAGCAGCCGTTCTGCATGAGCAGCTCCACTGCACAGCACATCAGAGGAAGGAGTGAGAATTTGCTTCAGTAACTGAAATAAGGGGGAGCGGGGGGGATTTTAGGGAAGGTCTATTTGTGCAAGCCCCGTGTCGAATTTATCTAGGCTATCCTACTCTTCTAAAAAGTGCCATGGGATTTCCCTTATATAGAATAACTTGCACCCAAGAAATTTGGTTTATGCAAAAATGGTTAGTGAGATGCGATATAACTTCATTATTTTTTTTTTAAATAAAGGATAAACAAAACCTTTGGCAAGAGGCGACATGGTGGTGCAGTGGTCAGCATTGGGGCCCTAATTTCAGTCCCAGAGCTGGGGTGCTATCTGTCTGGAGTTTGTATGTTCTCTCTGTGTTCATACAGGTTTTCTCCTACACTCCAAAAACATACTGGTGGGTTAATTGGCTTCTGGGAAATTTGGCCATTGTGTGTGTCTGTGTTTCTGCTCTGCGACAGGCTTGCATCCCATCTAGGGCGGTAGTAGTTCAGGTGGGGAGCTGCGTCAGCATGCGTAGGCTGCAAAGGAACAAGTAATAGGTTTATTCCATGCTGAAAAAAAGAAGAAAGAGAACACAACGTTTC